AAAACACCTTTCCAAAATATTGTTTTCACATGATGTGTGGATGTAAGCTCTAATTAATGGAAAGAAATCACAGATCAAAGATTTTATTTTGAACATTATAAAGACAAAATCTGAAATACACAGATGAATAATTCTACCAGACGAAGTTGCCATTTTAAAAAGAGCTAAATCTATTACAATAAAAAAATAAAAATATGTATAAAGGACAGAAATAAAATCAAATAACTATACTGATATAAAAAATAGCTTTACTATTAAATCCAATGAAGAAATGGATTACATGAATTAATTTCAATTCTTTTTACATAGTCTTTATACTAGTAGTAAATTAAACTTATGTGAATTTCTTTGCTTACATGTGTCAGCCTAATACTTCCCGCTTCATCAGAAATAGCTGATGTCGAAGCTGTTGAGGATCTTTCGCCTAGCTGAGCATGCTCCAGAAACTCAGACATAGAAGCACTCATTGGCTCCATCTGTTGGGTCAAAACCTAATAACATCACTCTAATATATTAATGCAATAATGTTTATTCCTTTAATCTTTATTACACATTTTTTCAGCTTTCCTAAGAATGTGCTCCTTACCCCATATCACCATGAAAATGTAGTGTTTACAGTATTGTTTTGTGAAATGGCTCCATAAGTGCTTACCCAGAGTCAATTTTACCTTTCTATGAGTTTGGGAAAAATATTTTTTCTAACTAATGCTATCAATATTGAAGATTATTATCATTACAATATAATCAATACAGTATTATTTGTTACTAATAGCAAAATGAGATACAGGAAAATATTTCCAAAAACCAAGGAAGAGGGTAAACTGGGGAGATAGGTAGTACTGGTAACTGGTTCATTGGTGACTTAGTACTTGTAGAGCCGTCTGTCTGTAAATACAATTAATAAACTAAACTCACTGCGGGCATGACATGTACGTACATACCATCCCAGGAGCATCAGGTTAATCCACTAGCAACGGTATATTTTAAAGTTGAATATAATAGTTTCTGGCCAGCTTCAAAATCAGTGCACAGGGCTGGCCCGGAATCTGCCCGCTCCGATCCAGCGTCACACTGGCGGGACACCCAGCAATATTTTTTTTCCGGGTGTCTCATATGTGGGACACCCGTCGTAAATGGGTTAAGAGAGTATCTTAACAAATACTACATATTCAGAATTCTCTAATATGACATTCTAAAAACTATTCTCCTTACTTGCCCTGATCTTTCAAGAAAAAATTACAGCAATATATGATTTATTGATACGGTTCTTGCTGGGATACCACAGTGAATTCACTTCAGAAAATATTAAGGTCACAGAAAGAGTCTGTATTTTTTTTTTCTTCTTCTTCTTGAAAAGTCTGATGACACTAACACATGATACAGAATCTACACTAATGAGCATCTACATTCACCTGCATAAGCAGCAAAATGAAAAACAACATAAAATATCACTTGAAATGCATCACTCCTCTACAAATGACACTTACATTCAACAGCTTTGTGTATTCATTTTGCTGCCCGTCTTCATATTCATTTTCGTCATTGTCACCAGGTTCTGCCTCAATCATCTCCACCTCAACATGGTCTGTCCCTCCTAATTCTGGCAGTGTGACACATGACTCCATCTGGGTGGTACATGAAAAAAAAAATTAAGGTGCCATTATCAACAATAAACTATGATTACTACATTGGGAATGATACATTATGTACTTAGAAAATTTATACTCTACTCCGAAATTTTCTCATATCGCTCATATGAACCTTTTCTAAGTTCATGATATTTCAAACAGAAAACAAATATGTGTTTGTCTGTCTGTCTCTATTTGTGTTAGCTAAATATCATCTTTACACACACTCCTTGCTTATTTTTTTGATTGCTTGTGATAGAGATTTCTGAAGAATATCTTGCAACACAGGTTAATGGTGAAAATTAAATTCCATGCTGGGGCAAACATTAACATCCCACAGTAAAAGAACAAGAGTTAAATACAAAAGCAGATAAGTTGCAAAAGAAGAAATATGCAAATATATATATATACTACATTTACATATATGTCTAAACTAGGAATCTAGGAAAGCTTACTGGTAGAAGGGCTGCAAAAGCTGAAGTACAATGGAAGTAGTTACCATTACAGTTAAATCTCCTACTTTAATTAATATTCCATACTCCAACTCTTTTTGCAACAAAAGACACCACCATTACATAAATTACCAGGCTGCACGGAAACCTACATAGGGAAGCCCTAAAACTTCTTCCGTGGATCCCACATGTGCCGACGTAATTGCCCCTACTGGAAGCTCCCCTCGTCCTAGGAGCTCAGTCATAGCAGTATTTAGGGGAGCCATCTAAAGTGCATTAGAAAAACAGGTGATGTATTAATATAAATGATTTGAATACTTTTCTTAACATGCAAAGTATGCAACAATACACTCTTTATTACCAAACTCATAAATTCTTTGATAATGTAACTAAAATTCTTCAGCTAAAAGTGAGAGAACA